TGGGATGTACTCACTCATAATTGGTTTCTAGAGATAAATAAAGGTCAGTGAGTCTATAATTTGATATCCTAAAGAAGCTAAATAAGAAGGTGATCCCAAAGAAAAACATAGCTATCCTCCTGATTATGGGAAGTAGACAAGATTGCCGGGCAAAAAATGGGATCTTGGGGGTGGGGTGGGAGGGGGGTAAGGGGAGATGGGGAGAGAAAAGTGAGAAGGGGAGGTTGGAGGGAACTTGGAAAACGGGATGATTGGGATAAAGGAAGGTTGGATAGGGGAGCAGGGAAGCACATATCTTAATTAAGGGAGCCATCTTAGGGATGGCAAGAGACTTGGTGCTAGAGGGGCTCCCAGGTGCCCAGGGCGATGTCCCCAGTTAGTTCCAAGATAACTCAATTTAAAAAGCATTTCTCTTGCGTTCTGTGAATCTCCCAGAATCCATTACTTTTACATGTGTCTTTCCTTGGCCACTTGTTATGCCTTTGTTGTAGAACCTATGTTCCTAGGTATGTTTGTCAGTGGTCTCTGTGTGGCTGCTTCTTGAGGTCCAAGCCCATGTCTTGATTTATCTCCCTAGTCCTTGCTCACACAAAGGCCAGGCATAATCATATATTATGTCCATAGTGATTATTGTGCCAATTTGAGCCCCGCTGCCTCTGAAAAGGCCAGATTGAGCAGAATGGACAGTAACCACAGACTTGCAGATGAAAACACTTGGCTCTCTGCTCTGTCAGGAATAATATCTGGTCAAGGTGACGTTTCCCATGAATACAAGATACAGAATGGAAACATGCCTCATGAAGAGCCACCGAAGGGCTACAGGACATGCATAAATGACCCTAAGACACCTCTGGCTGCTGGACTGCTCTGTAAGTCAGGCAGGAAGATGGGATGAGGAGATGGAAAATGGTTTATGGAACATAACAAATGGAGAAAACATCCTACATACTACACAACTGCATACTACATACTACATACATACATCCTACATACTACACAACTGCATACTACATACATAGTACACAACTGCATACTACATACACACATCCTACATACTACACAACTGCATACTACATACTACATACATACATCCTACATACTACACAACTGCATACTACATACTACATCCATCCTACATACTACACAACTGCATACTACATACATAGTACACAACTGCATACTACATACACACATCCTACATCCTACACAACTGCTGCCTATACTTATGGTTTGATGTTCAACAACAGTCAGCATTGCAGTGTATGTGTGAAGCATATAGTCCTCCTACTTATTCACATTTAAGAAAGCATCATGTAATTGTGCTCACAGTCTGTTACACGCTTACTTTAATACTTTTTCCGGAGGTTGAGTTTAGCCCCTTACCTGTTGACTTGCTCATTCTTATCCAGACCAAATCCTGTTTCTTCTTGTCTTACTACCTGAGCCACACTAAAATGCTCTTTTTGCTCCTAGTATCTATAGCTTCTAGCGCTCTAGGGAGCCAGGGGATCACTCGCTGACATGGCATGAGGGCACACAACAGGGCACAGTCTCGGCCCCGCTATCTTCCATTGTGTGTGTATTCACATTGCACAAGAGCTCATTGATCTGCTTGGGGGCAAAGTTCAAATAGTATGAAAAGTAAAGTTTGGAAAGTGGTGGAAACAAAGGAGAAGGGGCACCAAGGGAAGAAGCTAGTCACTGGGGACATATCCCTGAAGAGTCTGTTGGGGCCAAGGTGCTTTGTGTCTGTTTCTAGCCCTCTGTGAGGTAAGCAGCTTTCAACACAGGCCCAAAACAACAAAACCAGGTGCTCCTGGACTGGAAACGAGCCAAGTTAATCTTGCGTGTCTCACAGCAATGCAAAGTTGACTAGCTTGGTTATTATTTGCATGAACACAAGCAGGTGAAATGTGTGCATCATCGTTCCCATAGACTGCTCCCATTACTTCCTTAGCGACCAGAATAGCAGCCTTGCAAAGATGTCCACACCCCGCCTCAGAGTTAACTTTTGTTACTCTTCATGGATTCGCTGATGATTAAGGACTTCAAAATTATCCTGACCAGGCCCTTGAAAGTAGGAAGCAGTAGATCTGGGGAGGAGACACAAGTGATAGAAAATTTAGAGGTGCTACCTGCTGCCGAAGACAAAGATTCATGAACCAAGGCATAAGGACAGCCTGGGAAACTAAGGCAGCAGGAAAACGGACTTGGGAGCCTGCAGAAGGAGCCAGGCCAGTAACACATTGACATTCAGATTTGTGAGCTCCAGAACTGCAAGAGAATTACTGTTTCTGTAGCACTGTGAGGTTGTTCTCTGCAGCAGACCGAACAGCTCAGTAAACAACTGGCTTAATAATTTACTCTCCACAGTCTCAGTGGATCACCCAGCCTTGCTGTCCAGTTGGCTCTCACAGCAGGGATCCCAAGGATGGCCCTCTGAACACCTATTAAAAAACATGGGCTGCTGGGCTTTGGTCTTAGTTGTGTTTTGTTATCCAGGGTATGTCTAAAGAGTGTGCATTTATGATACACTTCCAGGCATTGCTATGATTCATGAACCAGAATTTGAGAAGCTGGGAAACAATCAGTGACAGTTCTAGGGTCTGCAGCTCTGGGAGCAGCCTATTCCCCAAGGCCTCTCCTTGCTCACCATTCTGCCCCAGTTAGAATGGCTCACCCGAACCTCTACCATCAGCCTAACCTTGACCCCTAGACGCAAGCTTCTCCTGTCATTTATTTTTTTGATTCTGCCCCACGAGCAATTGACCAAAGACCTAACTTCCCTATAGAGTTGCTACTGGAGCAACTCTGCAGATCCCTCATGGTTGTGTAGGTGAAGCACATGCGGACTCCCTTCATGGTGTTCTCTGACCTTTCAATATCCATTCTCATGGTGTTGTTGGATTCATTCTGAGAGATCATTCTTTTACATTTCTGTCCCAGATTCTCTACTAATGTAAAATGAAGTCCAGAAAGTTCTCTTTCTTGGGTGTATTTGATGTGTGTGTGTGTGTGTGTGTGTGTGTGTGTATGCGCACTTGTGCATGCATGCATGCATGTCTATACTAGGATGAGTTTATGGCCACCACATACATACAGGAGGCTATGGAGGCCAGAAGATGATGTCAGATTCCTAGAACCTGAGTTATACAAGTGGTCATAAGCCACTATGTGGGTGCTGGGAATCAAACTTGGATCCTCTGAAAGTACAGTAAACACTCTTGACTATTGAACTATCTCTCCAGCCCCAAGAAAAGCCTTAAAACTAGTCTTTTAAGCTAGGTGTTCTGTATTTGAGGCAGTCTTGCTGTATAGCCCTGAGTGGACTGAAACTTGATATGTAGACCAGGCTGGTCTTGAACTTGTGATCCTCCTTCCTCTGCTTCTTAAGTGCTGAGATTATAGGCATATACTATCACACCTGGGTTCTAGATGCTTTGTTCTTTTTCTTTCTATCTTTTTACTTTTTTGAGACAGGGTTTTGATATATAGTCTTGGCTGGCATGGAACTCACAGAGATCTATCTGCCCCTGCCTTCTGAAAGCTGAGATTAGAGGTGTGTTGAAATGTCAGTTATATGCATTGTTCTAAAATAATTTTCATG